CCCAGATCGGCAACGCTGATAACGATATCTCAGGAACTATAAAACATACTGTTACGAGCTTGAGGTTCGTGACAATAAAAATTGCCGATAGAATTACCTAAATTAACACTTTAATTCACTTTACAATAATTAAAGTTAAAAAAACACTAATAATTAATCACACTGATTCACTTTATTCCGCTCCGAAGCTTCGCGTGTCTCGCCAACTTCAATACTTCCCCGATCGCGTATTGCAGCGCCTTTATATAGGGCTCTTCCACGAAAACATCCAGAATATTCCAGAATATTCAAGTAAATACGCGCGCCAACCGACCAAGCGCAGAAAGATCGAGTGTAGAGCTTCTAGAAAGTTTAGTTCTTCAATTTGATACTAGATGGCGCTGTCGGTTAAAAAAAAATTAGTTATGTCATTTTCTGGAAAGCTCTCTCCTCGCTCTGTTACCCGACACTAGATGGCGCTAGAGCTAGCATGCCATGAGATGAGATGTCAACTTAGCCGCGCAACAATACAAACTTGAAGTTTGTAAGGTAGGTTCCTTTTATGTTATAGAGATCAGTTAAGAAACGGTTTTGAGAAAATCTAACCCTAAGGGAGTGAAATGGGAGTTGGAAATTTGTATGAAAGTCCTACGTTTTTGAAGTTAGAGACACGAAAATCGCCATTAAAATTATAAGTTTTCAATAATAAAATCCTGAATAAGCTGTTTTACGAAATCCTAACCCTAAGGGTGTGAAATTGGGGTAAAATGGTTACATGCAAGTCCTATATTTTTAAAGTATAGATATGAAGATCGACATTTACTTTATTAGTTTTAAATAATAAATACTTGCATAGTTAAGCTTTACCTATATAGCCTCTTTATACTTAGGCAAGACTTTTGCAGCGAGAAAATTTCGAAATCTCATAGGAAATCAGATATTGTACGCGGACGAAGTCGCAGGCGGCCGCTAGTTACATATGTGTTATGTAATTGTGTGATAAGTATATTTTTTCTTACCTGTCCACTTTTTCCGGTGGTTATTAAAAAGCTTGTGATATCTCCACTTAATTTTGGTTTTTCAGGAAGAAATATTTGTGATTCCTTTTTGTGGAAAGATATTAGATGCTTCTTTAAGCCTGAAGTGTTTCTGTTTTTCATTTTTATTTCTACCTTTTTTATGTTGGCATAATTTACACAAAGCAATTTGGGATGCATGAATTATGTCGAAAAACTCATCAAATTTACTTTTAGGTCTTTTAGATCTATAACTCCAACTCTCACTACTCCGACTAGAACTATTCGACTCTTCGTCACTCATGTCAAATTGTAAACTTATCACTCCGAGAACAACAAGCATTAGAGTAAAAACAATTAATACATTAGACTCGAAGCAAAGCTCAATTGGGAATGACTGGAATTAAAATAAATACTACTATTTGTAAGTACATGCCGAAAGACCGACAAAGGAAAGTTCGGCATTTTTTGATAAAATTAATGATTCTTCAGAAGATTAATAAAGTAGATTTGTTGCCAGATAGGTATAGTGTGCCTACGTAAAAATGAAATGTAAATATGTAAATAAAATTGTGTATATTATGTTCTTCTTGTGATTGAATTAATCTACGTTAATTAAATTAAATTTGCCTTCACTCGTTTGAAATTCAAAATTCAAATATGTTTTATTCAAGTAGGCATTAAAAATACACTTTTGTTTTTCCTAATTTTTTCTTTTCCATGTCCAGGGGATCTGATTCTACTGAGAAGTAAGTAAGAAACTCAGTAGTTGCTCTTTTCAAAATATTTTTACAATAGTTCTATAATTATATAAAGCGATAAGTCAAACATAAAATGTCAAATGTATATGTAGATACCAAATCGGTTTAGAAATTTCCAGTTAGTCCTGTGTAGTATGAGAGGTCAGTTTCAAGCATTTTTGTCTGACTTAAATTGAAAAGGTGAAAGATCTAACATTTCTTTTGGAATCTTATTATAAAAGCGTATATCGCTACCCAAGAACGCATTATATACTTTGTGTAACCGGAAAGCAGGTATTGTGATTTTATTTTTATTTCTACTATTACAATTGTGCAAATCACTATTATTTACATCAATTCGATGCAATCAATTTTTTTAAACGGTTCTCTAAGATACTCGGGCTCCTAAAAAGTACATAGATCTTATTTTACGCTTTTTATTTAATATGCACACTTTTTATATTATTCGATTAGCATTGTACAAAATTTTTTACACGTTTCAAGTGTGTTAAAAGTGTCTACAATATTTATCGAATGGGTGACGACATATTCAAACACTTTCGGTTCAAAAAAAAAAGGTTCAAAAACACACCCTTCCAAAAATCGAGATTTGCAGTGAACTTATTGAACATGTTTATCTATTAGGTAATAATAATAATAGTAAGTAATTATTATAAACCCATATAGTTAATATTATAATAATTACTTACTAGAATAAATTATTATGGTATCTACCTATCCTTACCATTATCTAATTACAATATTTCTTGCGAGATCAGCATAATGTATTCGAGTCCATTCTGAGCACCCGGAAACTTATTTTATTCTTTGGAACATGTACTCTGTGGCGGCATTCAAACAGTGTCAAATGTAGTGCGTGAGGCGCGGCGGCGACGACTGAATGCGATATCAATAGAAGCCGCCGGCGCGTGTATCTTGATCTTGTACTTCCGAATAGCTGCAAAATTTCTTTGACAGGTCAGTATTCGACCTTTGATGATGCCGACAACAAGACGCCGCGCACTATCAAAGTGCCGATGGTCAAAACTAGGGATGCACTGTTTTTTCTTTTAATGGATATTTTCATCCGCTATGTATGTTTATGGTATTGTTCGTAATGCGCATAAGTCCAATTTTCCAAATTTTTTTAATATATTTTTTGCGTCTCATAGAGTCCCTAAGCGTATACCCGAATTCCTATACTCCCTGAAACGACACTCATTCCTAACTGCAAGACGCAAGAGTCTCGCAGGCTTAGTCTTGTTCTTGCTCAAATCTTGCACGGTCAGTCTTGGTCTTGGTCTTGCTAAAATTAGGCGGTCTTGTTCTTGGTCTTGGTCTTGCAAAAAAGCAAGAACAAGACCAAGACCGGTTTTGGGCAACACTAATTTTTGAAAGGTCTCTTTCCGACTTCACCATAATTATATGCGATGTATCGGTTTTTCTTACGTGTATCTTGGCATGCTTGACCAGACATAGCGAAAATTCATTTCAACCGCTCCCTTTTTTTTTTAGAGAGTAAGGTCATATTGTGCACGGTTAGGTGGTCGTTGATGTAAATCCTATTGTTTCCCACAAATCCCAAGTTGCTTGATGTCAGATGACTAGTCTTCGATGCATATCTGGCTGCCGCCACAAAATCTTCCTTCACATAGCGATTGCAGAAACAGATTATTATCGGTTTGTTGTGCTCCCTCTCACGGGTTGGTACTCTCGTGACGAAATTAACCTGAGTCTTTGTAATCGGATATTGTATCATAGAACCAATTTTGGATGTGATTTCAAACAAATTTTCACCGCTTGTCTGAGGTACTCCCTTTATCTACATTGTTCATTCTTGACTATTGCTCCGCAGAGTTCGAATTCAAGTACACAATACAAGTACAAAAACATGTTAACCTAATTCAGAACGGTTAGCATGTTTTTGTACTTTCTCGACCTGTACTAGACGTTGTTCAAAGTCTTTAATTTTGTCATTAAATTCTTTTAGCGCCAAATTAGTATTATTTAGTGAAGATTTAAGATCAGCAAATTCAGATCTCAGGGCAATGACTTCATCTTTTAAGCATTCTAATGGCGCCAGTTTATCAGAGAGAGCTCTTATCTCCTTAAGTATTAGTGCATCGGATTGAATCCTTGGTGATAAAGGAGGCTGAATAGAGTGAGTTTGCTTACACTTGACACATCGCCAGGTAGACTTTCTATCTTCCAGCTTGCGATAGCCAGCTTCGGTTATTCCAGCGCAATGAAAATGTAGCTCTTGATTACACACAGTGCAGTGAGGACCTTCTGATAACAACTCCCCACATGCACCACAATTATGAGTATCCATTGCGACAGGTACTAACAACTTATAAGCTTAGATATAGAAAAGTTTTGGAAGCACTGGCTAAAATTGCACCGGCTGTACTAATCGGTGCAAATAGTAAGCGCGACCGTACGCTACGGAGCAAAAAACGAGTTATTTTTGAAATTCCTTACATTACATTAATCATGAATAAAACAAGTTTATTTTTTGCTTTGTTATCTTAAATTCTTGTAGTCAAAAAACTCATATATAAGGTCGCGCTGAAAAAACCACTACGTAATTTCAACCACCCGCCATTTCGGGAGCTTACTGTGCGTAACTTTGTGTTTTTGTGTTTGTCTTTTTATTTTGTGACTCGGCTTTAACTTTTGGACTATTTCTTCAATATTCATTGAAGCACGTGCCCATGTCACAAAGGATGATTGGGCAAAAGTGGTAGAAAAAACAAAAAAAATTGATTATGGATGACTTTGAAAGAGACATTAATTTTGACTGCATTATTGAAAATCAAATATTAATTAATCTAAACAACAACAGCTCAACTAGTTGTACTGAAAGTGATTGAATAAATTAATTTTTAATCGCCAAAAGAGAGGGGAGGGGTGATTTTTTTTTAGTTTCAATCTTAAATTTTATAACTATGCCTCTATAAATGAGCCGTAACAACAAATACGAAGAAACTGATAAATATTTTGTTCTAAATCATCCGTTTTAAATTTATTCTAGTATTATTCAAACCAAACTGTAAATGATTACCAACTCTAAATAATCGATATCGATTTTTTTAAGAATCGAATATTGTACGTTTTTGTTGGCATGCTTGGTGCAATAAGTCTAACAGCTGTCAAAGTGTATTTCTTAGATTTGGTTGACTATAGTCACGACGAAATTATCGGATGTTCCAAATGCATACTGCTTCCTATATTAATTGTTTTAACGATATGCTTGATATTCCAGTATCAGAGTGGAGGACCCATTGGAAGGGCCCAGTTGGTTGCTGGATATACAGAATATTCAGGTAAATTTCAAAGGTGTGAGTTAAGCTCTGGCTAGTCGAAGCGACTTGGTAAAAAATATGGTGCACTGCACAACGTCCACACGACAGCGTCTTGCACGCGCAAAAAGTTTACAAAGCTCTCGTAAAGAACACGCCGTCTCAACGTACGTGCTTGCGTGTGAAAATTAAAGCAATTGCAAGTACGATTGAACGTGTAGCAAGGCTAAAAGGCGCATGTGTCACGGATAATAAAAATTACTAGTTGGTAGGAATCCTTATGTGGCTAAGAGTTTGTCTTAGTAGTTACCATCCTTTTATCTATTTAGGTCACCAAACAGCAGGACTTGCACCGTTGTGTTCCTTTATGAAGTGTATAGAGAGCCGATATTACTACAGGCCGCAGGGCATTCCCTATTAGTCCTCAGATTTAACAACGCATCTTTCGCCTTGATAGTTTGAAATTAACTGCAGGTCCTTCAAGTGTAGCAGTACCACTTTTCATCAGGGGACTGGAAGTTTGTTTGTCACTTGATTGTTTTTGAATAACAATACCTGCAAAATAAAATTTTACAATAATATTATACAATGGTTTTTATGAGTTAATCCGGAATGGAATACCATGCAGCCTGCAATCATCCTTCAGTTAGATTCCTGGCTGATTCTTCCAAGGAAATTGGTATTTTCGGAACAGTGGTAAATTAACGTTAAAATGATATTCAATAATCTCTATATGTATATTATACGTGGTAGAGCCATGCTGCAGCTATACTGTGGTTGCAGCACGAATGGGTCGGCTCGACGGGGGGGTAGAGCCACGCTCTCACAGGATACCAGCGTAAAATAGCAGCTTAATGCTGCTGTGTTTCGTTTGATGAGTATAGAGAACTGGACGTCCTTTTTACTGGAAACGAGGCATTCCATTTCAGTCCTCGGGGTGACCACGCATTTGCATTTTGATTTTTAATTGAAGATAAATGTAGATGTCTATGGGCCACAGCATCCACTTACCATCACGTGGACTGTGTGCTCGTTTGTTACCCTTATTCTATAAAAAAAATATAAACATCAATTGCTGTCGGTTAGTCCCTCTACAACTCGAAAATTTTTCGATTGATTTTGATGAAATTTTTTGTGTGTGTTGGAGTGGGTCACTGGATGGTTTACATTCACAATTGGACCCGGTATGTGGCACTGTTGTCCAGATCCTGAAATCATACGTGTTCACGTTTATAATCTACATTATCTTAAAAGATTAAATTTATATTTGATCAACAGAGTAGGAGAAGAAAAAGTCGGGTGAACTTTGAGCCGGACTCCACTACGGAGTTAGACGAGAGTGCTCGGGTTGACATTTCTGCTGGTCAGAGCAAACCCAATGAAGTAAGTATGCAATCAAAATTGTATATTAGATCTTAGCATTATTGACATAAGAAACCTGGTTTAATATGAGCGAGTCGTGTGACCTTAACAAGTTCACAATTAAGTTTAAGCTCCGCTTTATATTTGAAGTATGCACGCAGAAATAATTTGATGAAATTTTTTGTAACTCTAAATGAATTTTCATATTATTTTGTCTTTTATCTGCTTGTATGTCTACCACTAGACTTCGGGGACTCTTGTATGTCTACCACTGTTTTCTGGGTTTCTGGATGGATTTTTAGTTGAGGATAGATGTAGGTTTGTAGAACTGTCTGGTGTCCAATCTAGGATGTTGGGTCACCAAGCCAAAATTAGAATAATGAAAAAGTTATTAAAAAGTTAGTTTTATTTATTAATAATTCTGCTTATCAAAATAAACATGTTTCACGAAAAACATTTTTATTTAATTTTATTTATGCCCTGACTGGCTTAAAACATTGGTTTGGTTAATCACTGAAACTTTAGTGTAATATTAAAATTTTCTACATCGCTCCATATTTAAAAACTCTATGTTGAATGAATACAGATGAATATGTAAACGTGTCGCTCTCGTCCACGAATAACTCTTCGAATTATTCGTAGAGTTTTTCATCCGATAATCTAATTGTTCCATTATATGTGTTACTATAATTCGTGGCGTCTGTATGTGGTAGTACTTTCTGGTGTCTTTTTGTTATAATTTTTCACAACCTACGCAGAGTAAAGCAAGTTTCAGGTTGACTATGTTCATTTTTCCATTTTTAATCCCATTCTTTTTAACTTCCCAGTGGGAAGGTATTGTATGTTATGGGTCCGATTTGCAAATTGGAAATTTTAACATATCTCCACGCGTCAAGGTTATTAGAGTCGAATAGTATGATTTTTAAGAGGATGTGTGATGTTCGGATTCAATTCTCGAGTTATGTATCTCGAGAAAAAAGAGTGATATTGACATGGGACCATTTTAATTTAACGCGTAATTATGTAACTTAGACCTCATTAAGTTTTGAGCAAAATCGGTCAAGTCGTTTTTTGTGCAGAATAAAAAATTGTATAAAATATTAAAACATGATATTTTTTTAAGCTATTGCTAGCTTCTATCGCGGGTCTTGAGCGCGGGGACCGAATCTAGAAATTCCGTAACGAAATAAAACCTCACGCTCCCCACTCCTACGGGCACGGAGGTGTGGCGTTGAAAGCCGTGCATCGTCTAACATCGTTTTAGTTCGGCAGACTTCGGCACTCGGCAGACTTCGGCACGGTGTTTGTGTGCGTGTACACTAGCTGCTAACTCAATGATAAAAATTCCTGAATAACCTACATGTATTGTAAGATATTAAAAATATTTTAAACAATATTAACTTCTCATTTATTCAATAAGAGAAAAAAAATTGTTTTCTTATCGGTCACCACGCTCAAAAAGTGTAACTTGATTTAATATCAAAGACTTAACTGCATAAATAAAATAAATAAATAATTATAATTGCATAAGTTGATAAAAAATGCTATGCAATAGCTTTACCGCGGCAGTCACCGAGTGCTACACGTATTTTTTTTTATTCTTTCCACTGGGAAGTTAGCCGTGTGGATCTTTCGGGTCGCACCTAGACCGCTTTTTTATTATAGATTAAGGATGACAAACGAGTACACAGTCCACCTGATGATAAGTGGAATATGTAGCCCATAGACATTTAGATCTATTTTCAATAGAGAAGTTGCGTTATTTTTTTGCCACAAATCTGTATATAAATGGAAGAATAATTAATTTAAAGTATATTTAAATTTTTTTATTAAAAATTTCATTTTTTTAGTAATTATTAATAAAAAATAGTTAAATTTTTGAATGAAAATAAAAACGACTTGTGATTGGTTGTGACGTCATTATATCCGTTGGGGCTGTTGCCATACTTTTCTATTTTCTATATTCGGATCATCATGTATCATAACAATACATACATATATAACCTGTATTATGCAATGATAATTTCTTTAATTTTAACAACGTAAACGCGAGTGTTTAAAGGTAGAGACAGAATGGTCTCACGTACGCAACGTACGCAACGCATTGTATGAAAAACTATACACTAGAAAGACAATTATCGTATGCAACACAATTACTATATATCTAGATCGGCGTGGGAAGGTGGCGGGAATGTTCGTACGCAATCCCACGAGTACGACCAGTGTGTTCTTATAAAACTTACGCGTAGTACCATACGTAGCACATCATAAACAAATAGACCTTTGCACACTCCACGCATTTTGTTGTCAAAATTTAAGATGGACAGCGCATTCATTTAGTAAGGCGATACGATTGTATTTACAATATTAAATGTGTAGAATATCGCGATGCTAAATTATTTCATACAGTATGGGAAGAGATAAATGGTATACCTGAGTACCTATCCACCTACTGCTATCATTTATATTATTAACGTGAAAAAAAAATAGTTTTTTTTTTTGTATTTCTGTACTAGTTATGTTAAGGTATGAAGCGTGATTTTATAAATTTTTATTTTATTTTGCATTATAAATTGTAAATTTGAACTGAACTACTACTAAACCTTTTCTATGTGGCGTGGATATATGCGTTTATAAACATCAGACTTAGTGAATAATTCTCTAACTTCCTTTCAAAATCAGAAAACATGATATAAATTTGTACTCGTGTGTCCGCTATAAGAAGTGACAAGAGTGTCTGACGCCAAACGTACGTTGCATAAGTAGGAAAACCATTTTTAATTGTAAAATTGCATGAAAAATCAATTGTTAAATATTTTTTTTTTATTTTCTTAATAATTTTAGTAAATTAAAAAAAAACATGCGTGCAGCTGCTGTCACACGTGACAGAAGTGAAACTGGTGGAGCCACGTGTTTAAGGCTGCCGAAGTCTAGTTCCCCGGTCGAACCTTAAACCTATTGCGCGAAATATTAATCTAAATGGACTGTATCTAATAATGCTTCTACACTTATATATGCGGTACAATGCACTCGCTCTTCCCAAAAAAACGAACTATTATGCCAAATTGATGAAGGGAATCCTGCTTGATTAGGAAAACACAAAATTGGAGCGGGTTAAATCACTTATATCAAGCAGGTTATAATATTGGATATTGACTCACCGGGATGTTTCTTCTATGCTGTCGAGCACTATAACTGCGACTTCTGGAACACTTTGGAGAGAGGCGGTGCGCGACTATATCTCATACGAGGTGAGGCGGGTTTCCTGGAGCTCGACTGCTTCCAGGCTAAATCGGTTTCTACTAGATGTGTTTCCAACAACGAGCGCGGCGGGAAGAGGCCACGCGTCGGTCGCGCGTGTCTTATATATCCTCGGTTCTGATGATTACGTGATGTTCTAGAATCATCTTCTTTCCCCTCCCACCCCACCACCCCGATGTGTCGATAGGAGGGTACGAATGATATCGTTTTGGAAAGGGATAACCGATTTGGCAGCCTACCGTCAAATAAAATAAAATACGAATGGTTTTCCGCGCAACCATCTCCCCCGCCCTTGAAGGATCTCCTTCAAAAATAACTAAAACAACTAGAGCTAAGATCAACTAACAAATAACTAACTAACGCTAAGATTACCTAAATTCAACTACAATTTTAATCTAGAAAGCTAATCTAAATTATGGAAGAGGTAAGGGGCACAAACGGACAACAGGACGCAGGTAAGACCCAACCGTGGTCTTAACGCGAGCTATCCTAATTACTCCGTCGGAACCGGGAAAGACCTCTTCGACAATTCCTAACGGCCAATGGAGAGGCGGCGTATTCTCTTTGGTGAGCACAACCACAGTTCCTACAGCTAAAGGCTCAGTTGCTGTGTTCCATTTTTGCCGAGACTGCAAAGTATGCAACTATTCCATTCTCCATCGTTTCCAAAACGATTGCACTAACCGGTCTAATAATTTGTGGCGTGAGGAAATGCCAAGACTGTTCTCATCCATATCTACGGCGGACAAATACTTTAAAGGCGTTAAATTCAAAAAGTGTGCTGGAGTTAGAGCCAGCGGCTCCGAAGGGTCACTAGACAACATACGACATAGTGGGCGGCTATTCATTACGCATTCAATTTGAGCGAGCACAGTACTTAGCTCTTCGAAGGACAAAATTTGATCTCCTATTACTCGGTATAAGTGACTCTTTAGACTCTTAATATTAGTCTCCCAATTGCCCCCAAAATGACTCCCGGCTGGGACGATCAGAGACCACTCGATGCGGTTCTCGGCTAGAATGTGAGCGAACTCCGAATTATAATACTTGCTAGCTAAGAGCACATGTAGTTCTGATAAAATACGTTTTGCACCGACGTAGTTCGTACCGTTATCCGAATACAATTTACTTACGGGGCCACGGCGGGAAAGAAATCTTTTAAATGCACCCATAAAACCTGCTGTGCTTAGATCACCAACGAGTTCTATATGCACCGCCCTTGTAGTTAGACATACGAAAATGCAGACGTAAGCCTTTGTGGATCTTATACCACGCCCGCGAGTGAGCGTGACTTTAAACGGACCAGCGAAATCAGACCCGGTGTGCGTAAAGGGCTTTACCGATTGTATTACTCGACAAGATCTAAGTTCCGCCATTTCCGGAAATGACGGCTTGGGGCGTGCCCGAAAGCAAGCTATACATCTGTGCACCCGATTGCATATTAAACTACGTGCAGAAAGAATCCAATAATTCTGACGCAAAATCGACATCAACAAGTCGGGGCCAGCGTGCGAGTTCAATTTATGATGGTAATCGAGTAATAAGTTCATGATATGGTCTTTACGCGGTAAAACTATAGGGTGCCGTTGGTCGAAACTCAATTGCGAGTTGGACAAGCGTCCACCTACCCTTACAATCCCATCCTGTAAAAATGGCTTAAGGCGTTGAAAGGCGCGACTACAAGCTCTATTCGATTGTAATCTTGTAATTTCTTCCGAGAAATGCGCACGTTGAAGTTCACGTAATACTAGCGACTCGGC